CTCTGCGCCCTTTCCCTGCCCCCTCCCCTTTCCCTCTGCACACAATTATTTGTGCTTGTTCTCCTGCCACGACACACAGGCCGTTCATGTCCTGACACCAGTCTGAGTGAGGGGCAGCCTGTCCTGGCTGTCCAAACGAGGTGCATGACAGCACAGCCCTGGGGAAGAGCAGGAGCCTGAGCTGACAGATCAGAGCAATTAATTTCTCTCCAGCCAGGCCTGTTGCTGCTACCAGCCCCAGCAGTGCTGGGTGGTGTGCTCAGCTGTGCTGGGAGAGGCTGATGGGGCAGAGGATCAGCCCATCCATGTCTCCAGGGCCCAGAGAGCTCTGAGAGGAGCCACACACCTGTCCCTGGGCTGGCACTGATCACCCACAGCTGTGACCCTTAGACCTGCTGCTGATGGAGTGGGACTGGGGCAGGGGCTGGGGGTGTGTCTCCCCTGGGCTTAGCCTGTGCTGCTTTGGGATACATCATCCTTCAGGAAAAGCAGTTCACATCCCTCTGCTGCTGTTTTTTGCAGAAACCACATCTGGAGCAAGCTGTTCCCACCAATTCCAACTCCCAGCAACAAATTCAGAGATCCTTTCCCAACCGACTACGAGGTAAAATAACATTTTAATCGCTTTTTGGTGCTTTTTAAAAAGATGGTCTAGTGTTTGTGTGCTGCTTTTTCCCTTTGTGGCTGGGAGCATATGGAATCATTGAGGTTGGAATCATCAACCTTTAACCAAATACCCCATGCCCACTAACCTGTGAAGCCTCTTACTGCTCAGTTAAAGCCTTTTGACCTCTTAGACTGTCTAATATCTTATTAAATGTGAGCTACATGGTCAAATGTGTTGTGCAAAGCATGCCAAGGGGAAATTCATGGGTTCAGTTAATGTAACCATGGGTACATTAGCCTTGACTAGGATTATAGTATCATTACCCATCAAATTTGGTATTTTCTGAGGCTGTTTCTGCAATCCTAGTTGCTGTGGTTTGTTCTCACTTGGATCTGTGGCCACCTCTGCTGAGGGCAGGTCCCAGTCTGCTGTAGCTCTGTGTCTGGGTTTGTTTGTAGATGTTGGGTTTGAGGAGGGTTGAAAATGAACAAAAGGGTTGAACGCTATTGTCAGAGCCTGGTTAACATGCACTGAATTTCAGGCACATGATGCCATACCTCTGGCTGCCCCTCTTGCAGGGAAAAGCACAGCCAGGCAGAGCTCTGCCCTGGCAGGGGCTGCAGGGTGAGTCCTGCAGAGCTGATTTAGTGTTAAACCCAACAATGGGAAACATGTTGCTCCCACTGTTAAGCTGGACTTAAGCCTTGTTACCTTTGCTGCTGCTTCCTGATAAAGATATTTGCCTTACATAGAAGATAAAACTCCTCCTTGTCTGCTCAAGGCAAGTGCTGCTCAGTAGCTTCATTTTCATTTGTCCCCTTTCAGCAGGGGCTTCATTTTTTTGGGTAGTGTTCTTACTCCATGCTCTGGTCAAGGAAACAGGCTTAAAGGATTAGCATGTAATGTTTGTTTTTAATTAAAGCTACTGGTGTAAAATAACACGGCTTAGGGTGTCACAAATAAGAATATGAGAAATAGCACACATTAATGCTGCAGCCAGAAAATAATGTGAGCTTGGAAATGCTGTTTCACAGCCCCCAAAGCAGCACTGCCCTGTGTGTAGTCATCACTTCGGGGGAGCTGGGTGTGGGTAGGGGTGTGATAGAGGTTGGGCTGGTGTGACTGAGCTTTCTGTGGCTCTGAGGGGGGTGACCAGCAAGAAGAGGTGAGGACACAACGCTGGTGGCTCTGCTGATGTCACCCAGGAGAGTGACGCCCTCAGCATCTCTTTGTTGTGGTCATTCAGTTCCTAAATTTGCAGTGTAAACAACAGGCCAAGGTGACGAAAGCCTCACGCCTGGGGTAGTGTGGCCAGCAGGGTCTGTGAGGAGCCCCCAGGGGCTCCCAGCAGCTCAGACACTGCTCCTGGGGCTCAGCCAGCCCTGCAGACCTGGTGCAGCTCTGCTCAGTGCCCCCACGGGGATGTGCTGCTGTGCATGCAGAAAAATCCCATGCCCCACACACAGCAAGGTGTCAGGCACTGACAGGCTGCCCAGGTGCACACACCATCCCTGGTGGTGTTCACATCCTTGTGGGTCTGCTGCTTTGTGATGGGATTTAGTGGGCATGGAGTGGTTTGATCTAAGATTGGACTTGATGATCTTGGAGGTCTTTTTTAGCCTTAATGATTCTATTATTTTATGCTCCTCCTGGAGCTCTTCATCCTTGCCTACCCAGGAGGGTCTGGTGGCCACTGTGGTCAACTGGACTGTGTAGAACATGCCACATGGGGGATTTGAGGCAGCAGGGGCTGCTGGCCTGAAGGACAGTGATGAGCAGCCCTGGGAGAACTTCCCCTATTGAACCCCATGTTATTTCTCAGCTCTTACAAAACATGTTGTGTGAATCCCTCTCTAATGGCCCAGTTTGAACCCTGGTGTTTTGCATAACATGTTGACTGTCCCCCAGCCCAAGCAGCCCAAGCCCCAGCTCAGCAGCTGAGAGAGGTGTTTGCTTTGCAGAGAGCACGGACCTGCACCAGTGACACGGAGACTGAGTGTGGCAGCTTTGCTGAAGACCTCTACTGCAGTGTCCTGGATGACTCTGTCTTCTGAGAGGCTGTGTCCCCAGCACACCATCTCCCAGCAATGCTGCTGAGGGCTTCATGTCACCTCCTCTGCAGCTCTGACCCCGTGGGGGAAGATTTGCTTCTATGAGGTGCCTCAATGCTGAGCTACTGAACAGAAAGTCCCAGTGTAAGCAGGATATAAGGACTGGGTAGGGAAGAAACACCTCAAAAGAGCTAATGGCTTTATTTGTCTGGTTGGCAGCTTAATCTTTTGGATACTTATTTTATTTAAACAACTCTGACAACTCAAAATGCAAACTGGGAGAGCACAGCCCAGGGTAGATGTGGTCTGGTGCTGACCCAAGTGGGTCAAACCTGAGGAAAAGAGTATCAGAAGCTGCAGATGACCCCAGTACTGTCATCCCTGTGCTGCCCTTGGGCTGGATGGGCTCTGGAGAAGCAGCTCCCTGCCCAGCTGGATGCTGCCCAGGGACCTCAGGATGGGGCAGGCACAGAGACTTGCCAGTGCTCATTTTCAGCCCGAGGCTCTTGCCTCTGGCAGCATGTGCAAAAGGACAAGAAGAGTTTGTGTTCCCTGACACAACAGAGTAAAGCTGAAGGGGGAAAACAAGAAAAAAAAAGGAAAAATGGCACCAACAGGTAAACTTCCTCAATTGCACCACCAAACCAAAGCAGCCTGGGAATGCAGAGCTTTCCATGTGCAGTCATGGGTGTGCCAAGGACTTCTTGGTGCTCTGGAGTCTGAGCTGCAGCAAGTTGAGCTCTCCTGGTGTGCACCTGCAGTCACTGTGAACATCCGAGCCCAACACTGCAGCCTGTTTTAATTCAGTATCTGTACCTTAGAAGTACCTTAGAAGAACCTTAGAAGAACCAGGTTTGAGCCAGCCTCAATTTCCATTCGGGATTTATGTTCCTTCCTTGTGTAAGTCTTGCAGAGTCCCTGCTCCTTCCAAGGACCCTCCTGTCCGTGGAGCTGGACAGAGGAAGGACTAAGCACATTAATGATGGAATTCTCTGCTCAGAGCAGAGAGAAACATTTATTCTGGTTTATTTTCTCTTCAAACTCAGCTCCCAACCCTGTGCATTCCTCCTGCCTCAGCTCTTTCCACTGCCTCCAGGAGCACACCACAGGAACATGCTCCTTGCCTGCCTCTGGCAATCTCACGTTCCTTTTAAAACATGGAATTGTGCCACTGGATCATTTGATTGTCACACTTGATTGCCAAGTGCAGTATTGCTCCTTTGGAATGCAGAGAGCATCACCCAGCTCCTGTGCTGCCCCTGACAATGGGCTGGGTGGATTTAGTGACTTCCAGCACCAAACTCCTCAGGAATCCAGAAGGATCAGCACAGCAGCAGTGCCAGACCCAGAGGGGCTCTGCTCTGGGCACAAGGTCAGTGATGCTCCCACACCAACCCCCATGAGCATGGACAGGTCATGACTCTACAAAAGACACATTATCACCCCAAATTCACCCACTCAGATTTATTTTGGTTAAGTTTTGGAAGCAGAATTAGAGCTGAGATGTAGAAGTAGAATTTTTTTCCTGCCTCCAAGAAGGTTTGACATAAAGCAAGTCGTGTATCTTCACATCAGTGACAGCCTCAGCAGGTGCTGAGGTAAAATCTCCCAGGATTTCTCAGTGGGCAGAAGGAAATGTGCAGGAAAAAGGCTTCTGGCAGACAGGTATCTTTACAAATGACAGAATATTTATTACCAATACCTTTAAAAAAAGATTACATCTGCTAGATCACTGATAAATATCATTTACACCGGGGAGAAAACTACAGCAGCTTTTTTTTAGCTTCATTTTTTTAGTTTTTTATTTTTTATAGTTTTTTTTGCTTTTCTCACTTTATTTTTTTTTACATAGAAGGAACCATATCAAACTAAGAAAGGAACACAGCTTGAAATACTGACAAATATTTCTCTGGTCAACACCCCTGACTTGTACACAAGTGGAATCCTGATTATGAGTTACTGAATAAATATAGTTAGAAGGTCTAAAAGTTAACTGTATTATTTTGTAAGCAAAAAGAGAAAAAAAAAAGTTACAGGCAAATTCAAGCTATCAGGAAAAAAACCCAGAAATAAATAGAGCACTGCAGCGCATTTCAATTGGAAAATTGTATAGAAAATTCCATCGCCTTTGACCTGTGCTGCCCATCTGGGTGAGCTTACAAAATGACCCCAGAGTAGCAAACAGTCCTGCCCATGAGAAGGATTCTGTCACTGGGGTGACTCTCACTGTGCCTTCAGGCAGCTCTGAGGAGCTTCTGCAGAAAGGCAAAACCTCCCCCAGGGACAACCTGTCCCTCCCCAGCTCATGGCACAGCTCCTTGGATGCTCCTGCTCCACTCCTCGTCTCCTCAGCATCATCTCCACAGTGGAACTAGGAAGGATGATGAGTTGTGTCCCAATGAGGGTGTTCAGAGCAGCTTCCTGTGCTCTCACCTCCTCGGGGTCTCCTTGGAACCCAAACCCCACAAGGCAGGTGGATTGAGCAGTGGTTTCTCCACTGGGACCTGTCCCTGTGCCACTCAAGGCAGAGGTCACACCTTTACCTTTGCAGTGTCTTCATCCCCTCCCAAGCTGGAGCTAATGATGAAGATGAAGCTATTCCAGGACAGCCACCATGGCCTTGCTGCTCGATGCCTGAACATTTGCTACACGTCCTGTAGTCCACAAACAGCCACAATCCGCGTGGGTTTTGCAAGATTATGGTGCTCCTACTGAGTGTTTCCAGCTTGTCTTGCTTTGACCTCTGGATGAGCCATGACACCTTGTGTGAGCAGCTCCTGACGTGCCACAGGAGCCACTCAGTGCCACCTGAGCTCAGCTGTGGCACAGAGCCCTGGCTCACTTCTGCCTTCCAAAACTGTACAGTGAAACCTGCAGCCAATTTCCTCCCAACACCTCTGAGCTCTCCATCAGAAAGGAAAAAATCCCAACCAATATTTTCATGATAATGTCATCCGTTGCATTTTTATAACAGCAGAGGAAAAAAATCAATATCTACATCATATGTTAACTTTAAAAAATTCTATAAAACACTAAATATATAATAAAAAATATGCATATAAGGACATATGTAAACTGCTTTGGTAACATCATATTACAGATGTTTTCAGTGCATTGCAGAGTTTCCAAGGAAACTTCAGACAAAGCTATATTTGCTTTGAGGAAGTATAATGCCATTCCTAAAGAAGCATAAACATTTGTTTTTTCCAGTAGTAAGATGTACTCGAACCACAATATTACTTAGTACTGGGTGTCTTCAAAACAACTAGCTAAATGTTGCTTATATTATAAAGAAGAAGTCCTCGTTGTCATCTTTGTCATAAAGTGGAGCGAGCTGTGAGGGAGAGGACGATGGTGCTGATGGCTGACAGGGCACAGGCGGCCGAGGGCGACGAGCCGGAGCCTCGCGCGGACGCGTCTGCGCCGGGACAGGGAGACAACCAGTGAGAGGAGACAACCACAGCACGTCAGGGCTGGAGGACACCTCTGGGGTCATCCAGTCCAACCATCAGCCTGTCGTCTGCCCCTAACCCAGACCCTCCAGACACCTCTCAGACGCCTCCAGGGGTGGTGACTGAGCTGGGCCCTCCCCAGTGCCCAATGCAGGGGGATGACACTGCCCTAGTGCTGCTGCCACACTCTGCTGCAGCCAGGCCAAGGTGTCCTTGGCCTCCTTGGCCACCTGTGCACACTGTTGGCTCCCACTGAGCTGTGCCACCAGCACTTCCAAGGCCCTTGGGACAAACACCTCTGTCCCCACTGCTCCCCCCACGTCCCTCACCCACCCCCAGACCTAACCCTGTCCCTCTGATGGAGCAGTGGTGGCAGTAGGGCCCCACAGCTCCCCTCCCTCCTCCTGCTTCAACCACCTCCACACCACGTGTCGCCTCTCCAACTGAATTTTAACTTCCCTTCCTGCCTCTGCTGTGTTCAGGCTACTTTTACAATTATATTTCACACCCAGTTCACTTATTATTTGGAGTTTTTCCCCCCGGTGCAGCTGTTGCAGAGCCAGCCTGGCACGACTCGGGTCCTGGGGGAGCCACACACCTGCTCAGTGACCCACTGCCTTGAGCCAAATCGGAGCTGACACGAGCTCCACTCTCCTTCCCTCTCCTGTGCCTGCTGATTAAATTCCTCTGCATGGCTTGCACAGCCAGGGTGCAGAGAGTTCTGCTTTCACCCAGGGTTTTTCACATTGCTGTAATTTTAATGCCACATTCCTGCATTGCAGAGGCTCCTGATTTAATGCAGCTTATAAACTGGGGCATTATTAATGGAAGATGGGACATGGAGATTTTGCCAAAGCCATGTTGGGTAATAAAATACTCTTTCTGTTTGTTCTCCTACACAACCTCATTTCCCTAAATAAATATTTATGCATCCAGCACACAATGGGAAATGGCTGTACAGGAGCCTTATAAATTTAAAAGCCTCTAACGCTGCATTTTGTATTTGGTTCTAGTGGATTGCAGTGAAACAATAGATTCAATGTCTGTATGGGTGTGGAAGTGAGAGAGTGGGGAGTGTCTAGAAAGCTTAAATACGAATCTAACTACTTTGGAGGGAGTTTATGGTTTCATCTTGGTTTGGGATGGGATCCCTGGGTGTCAGCTCCCTGCTGATTCAGCCAGGACACAGCCTGTCCTGCTTGGACTCACAGCCCTGGGCCCTGCAGGTGCCCTGGCAGCAGGAGAGGGGAGCAGAGTGTGCCCTGGCAGCAGGAGAGGGGAGCAGAGTGTGCCCTGGGCCCTGCAGGTGCCCTGGCAGCAGGTGAGGCCTTACTGGAGATCTTTGGGATCCGGATCTGCTCGCTGCTGCTGCCGTCGCCACCGTCGCTGAAGGGCCTGATCTCCACGATGTAGTCCTCGTCGAAGGGCAGGGACAGCTCCACTGAGGTCTTGTTTGTTTCTATTACAGACGTGCTGCTCTGCCTGTTCCACCTGTACAAAACCTGCAGCAGGGAGAGAGCAGAGAAGGCAGAAAGGGCAGAGCTGCTGCTGCTCTTTTCCTGCCCCTGATGCTCAGACATGGTCTGGGATCCCCCGTGGGATGTGCTGGGGACCCAACACCAGCAGATGGTGATGGTGTCTGGGCAGGGAGGTGATACTGGGAGGAGGGTGATGTTGAATCACAGAATGAATCAGGGTGGAAGAGACCTCTGAGATATCTGAGTCCAACCCATGACCTAACACCACCGTGTCAGTTAGACCAGAGCACTAAGTGCTACCTCCAGTTGCTCTCTGGACACCTCCAGGGATGGTGACTACCTGCTACAGCCCCTGGGCAAAACCTTTACCTTGATCAATCCCAAATGAATCCTGAGGCTTATTTATAGAGGTCAGAAACTTCTTATTATGCCTCCTCAGGAAACTGAGTTGGGACATTTGATGCAGTGCCACAAATGGTTTCCTAGAATAAATGACTCTTGTGAATGACCTTCTGAGATCTGGGAATTCTACTAATTTGTATCATAAATTATGACATAAAATATAAGATTTCTAGGGAAAAAAAGAAGAAAAATAGGCAAAGTTTTGCCATGAATCAGGAAAGAAATCCATCTGGCTGTGCTATCCTAGCAGATGTGTTAAAAACCCACTAGAGCCAGTTTGCTCTTTCAGGGTGAGGAGTCTCTCCCTCTTTCAACTGACTTCTGAATTTGCATTTCAAACCTGAAAGATGCAGTGAAAAGTTGGTCCAGACTGCTGAGGTTCATCTGAGGATGGGCTAAAGACCCTGAGGAATCATTTATGTTTGGTAACCCATACCATGCACCAAAGACACTCAGGATTGCTGGCACAGGCTCCGATGCCACTGGCAGCCCAGACTGGGAACAGCACACAGAGCATGGCCAAGGCCTCCACTGTCTCAGGCTCTCGTGGGAAATGTCTGCACAACTCAGCCCCCAAGGCAGCAGCTGGAAATCACACCCTGATGTCTTCTTTGGGCCAAATAAAACCCTTGTGCCACGTGATAGAGCTGAATTCATCCCAAGACCTCTCTCTAGTTAAATTATATCCTATTAAAACTGCAGCTAATGAGGGTTCTCTTTCTTTTCCTTTTGGCATTGCTTTCTGAAGAAAATGGGAGCTATTAAAAAAGCATTTTGTTTATCTGCAATTAAAGAGTCAACTTCAGCCTTTGGAAGGTTTCCACCAAAGGCAGGAGAGCAGTCCTAGAATCAGAACCATCAAGGCTGGAGCCTCTAGGCCCATGGAGTCCAAGCTCCCCTGCAGGTGGGAGCTCCAGAGGGAGGGGCAGGTGAAGGTGTGTGGGCTGAGACCCCCGTGGCTGCTCACAGGGGTGAGGAGGAGCAGTGGGAAGAATGTGCTCCCACTACACAGCCAAATCCTCTGTTTCTGGAGGAATGCTCCAGTTTTAACCTGGAAAACCATGCAGGTGCCACAAAAAAAACACCTTGTCTGGGCTTACTCTAGACCCCAACTTGACACTGGGTTATGGGAATACTCACTTTGTAGCCTCTCACTTCAGACTCATTGTCCAGTGCTTTCACCTGGTCCCAGTTCAGTATGATCTTGGAGTCGGATGAATTCCACATGATGTTCCCGGGGGGCTGACTCGGTGCTACAGCAAAACAGACAGGGCACTGTATTATTAAAGAGCAGCATCTCCCAGCTGGATCCCTCCCAGCACAGGCTCTTGCAGCAGACTGAGCCTGCCCAGGGTCCTGTCCCTCTGGAAAGCTAACGAGCTGCTTCACTGATCCGTGTCCTCAAGGTCACGGGAGGTGTGACACGACACAGTGCTCTAAATGAAGAAAGGATTCACTCAGTTGCTCAACATGCCTGAGACCAGAAGAAAAAAGCCCTCTTGAACACTGAGATAAATATTTAATCTGCCTGCAGAGCTGTGATTTCAGCTTTGCATGCTCTGCTTGCTGAACACCGGCGAGAGCTGACAAAACAGAGCAAAAAGGCTGAGGCTGCTGAGTCCTCTGCACAAAAACCTGACAAAGAGAGTCTCACAGCCCCTTCAGAGAGGGAGCTGGAAAACGAGAGGGGAGTGCTGGGGGAGCCCCCCAGGCCCTCCCACACACTCACGTGGCTTTCTGGTGGTGACGTTGACGGCGGCGCTGGAGGGTCCCGTCCCGGCCGTGTTGTAGGCCCTGACTGCCAGGTGGTACAGGGCATTGCCTCGCAGGTTGCTGACTCTGGTGGAGGTTTGATTGCCAACCGTGCGGATCCTCTTGGCGTTCTCTTCCTTCTCGTCGTGTCGCCAACACCTGACCTGAGCAGCAGAGTGGGACGTGTCCACCCCCAGCCACAGCACCACCCGTGGCACTGCACCCACAGCACAGCACCCACAGTCCCCACCTCCCTGGCTGCAGTGCTCCCACCCCAGGACATCACCATCTCAGCTGCTTCAAGCACGTTCCCCCCACAAAGTTCTGCTCTGCATTTCTAGCCACATCACACACAAAGATGTGTGATCATTTTTAACCATGTGAGAGAAATCTCTGTATACTGAAGAGGCAAAGGGAAGGGAAGTTTTTTAATGTGAGGGTGCCCAGGGAGGCTGTGGCTGCCCCAACCCTGGCAGTTTCACAGCCAGGTTGGATGAGCCTTGAGCAACCTGCTCTGCTGGGAGTGTCCCTGCCCAGGGCAGGGGCTGGGGCTGGATCATCTCTGAGCTCCATTCCAACCCCTGAACATACTATGAAACTACAAACAGACTCCAGGAACCACTGGCCCCATGGCAGGAGGAGCAGCCCCAGAAGAACTGCCCGTGCCATATCTCCATGTCTCCCCAAGGCTTCCTCCTGAAAGGCTCCTGTGCTGTGTTTCCATACCTCATATCCCTGTATTCTTCCTTTGTGCTGGTTCTCCCAAGGGGGAGCCCAAGAAACTTCAACATCTGAGGCAGAAAGACTTCTGGCCAGCACAGTGGTTGGGGCTCTCGTGGGCTCTGCGTAATGAAAAATAAAAGTTAAGACTTTTCAATGGGATGTTCAATTAGCCCCAAATTTCAAGGGATTTATTTTCCTCACTGCACAGGAAAAGCAAACAAACGTGCACATTTCAGACCAATGGGCTGTCAGGCTGGTGCCCAAGAAATAATAAGATGTCATTACTAAACTCAGCCCAGGACACCATGTACTGTAATTAGGACAAGTGGGAACATTTTCTAATCAGTGGACATTAATTCAGCCTAACTCTCCACGGAATTCTTTCCAGATTACATATTACTTTTCCATTAATATCAAAAGATTTCATTACGATTAATGTTATTTTAATGACTATGAAAAGAATTAATCAGGGCTCACCATTTATTATAAATCAGAGCAAGGCTGAGGTATCAAAGGATATGTCAAGGTGGATACTAAACCCTTTCAGACCTGGTCACCCCCCTGTGCTCAGTGATGGGAGGAGGGAGGAGGAGACCTCTAAGGTCACCGAGTCCAACCTGTCACTGCTGCACCCCCTAAATCCTAAACACATCCTCCAGTGTCACAGCCAGACACCCCTGGACACCTCCAGGGATGGTGACTGCAGCATGTCCCTGGAGGTGAGAGTGCTGAGCTCCTGGCCCTACCTTCCTCCGCGGAGTAGACGACGGTGACGGGGCTGAAGGAGCCCTCGCCCTTGTTGTTGTACACCCCAACCTTCACTTCGTAGGGCGAGAAGGGCGGCAGCGTCTCGTTGCGGAAGACGTATCTGGCGGCGTCCGGGGAGGCCACCACGGTCTGCATCCAGCTGACCGTGCCGAAGGGCCTGAAGGCCACCACGTAGCCAAAGCCACCTCCGTTCTGCAGCTCCTCAGGCACTGTCTGTGGGCAGGACAAGGCACTCTCAGCAGCAGCACACGTTTCCCTCCCCGGCTGCTGCCTCTCGGCTCTGCTAAAGCTCCTAAACCTCCACTGGTTTAGGACAGGAGGTGGACAAGGTCCTACTGCACACCCGACCTGCATTCATCCCTCCCCATCTCTGCTACAGCCTTGCTGCTCCCCCAGAGAGAAAGCAGCACCTCCAGGAGACACTTCCAGGACTTATTTCCTCTTCCTCCACGGACTAGACGGAGCCTCTCTTAATGATGTAATTTTAGGCACTGCAAAGACTAAGAGTCTGAGGTTTGTTGGGGTGAAGCAAGGACAGAGTTCCTGCTTTCCTGCTTATGTAAGTGCACATGGAGCCCTGAAGAACACATCCTGGCAATGTCCCAGCCAGTGCAGGGCTCCTAGTCCCTCACCGGCCTCAGGCTACAGTGTCCCAGCCCAGGGAACACATCCCACACGGTGTGACCTGTCAGATGGCGATGGCAGGAGCAACTTGGCACAGATGTGGTGAAGAAAGTGCTAGGTAACACCTAGAAGAAACAACCTGTCACCTCCAGGTCCCTTCTGGGCACACTGACATGTCCTCCTCTCAGGCCTGCAGCCCCTGAAAAGCTGAACCAAACCCCAGATACACCAAAACCCAAACTAAAATGAGCAGTAATTATGAGCTACTCTCTCAGAGTGTCTGTGGTGCCTAAGCATGTGCAGGGGGCTCTGCTGTCCTGCACTCTGCTGCTGACTGCACTGCAAGGCTCACAGAGCACACCAGCCCACAAAGAAAATGCCTCTGGACATTGAGACGAGAAAAATGACTGTTCTATCAAAACACAAATTATATATTGTGCAAATTACCACTCAGAGCCTTGGCTGATGCTCCTGCCATGTGTGTCTTTGAAACATATTGCAGCATCTTTAGGAGACATGGCGTGGCTAATTAGCCCAACCGAGGAGGAAATGCAGCACTTTGAGCTGTGTGGGGAGGACAAACCCCCACTTACGGGTTTTTAATAACCTCAGGAACATCCCTGGCAGTTCACTCTGCCACAGCCTGGTCAGAAACGGTGCTAAATGCAAGTGTTAGCATGTCTAGTGAAGTTCATTATGAGGAGAAATATGCCAGCTGCATCCCATCACCACAGGAAAACACGAGCAGACAAACGACTGAGGCTCTAACCACGACTGCCTTCAGGAATACTAAACGTGTGTCATCCCTGGGTCTCCTCTTGCTGCTGCCATAGCAGCAGTGAAAGCCACAATGCCCCGTGCTAGCCCTTAACCATGTGCTGCCCTCCATCCCAGCTCAGTGAGCAGGGATGCTGCCTGGAGCCAGCACAGCCGTTCTCAGCCAGGCCAGGATGTGCCCAGACTGTTTATCTCAGGTGGCTTTGCCCACCCACGTGTTGCTGTGGGGATGTGCTGGGAGTCAGGAGCAGCAGAGCTGGTGTTGAAACACCAACCCCACTACTCCCCATGGGCCCTGCCCAGCACTGCCCTGCTGGCTGCTCTGGGAAGTGGTTTAGCTCTGTTTTAATGTCTGGGTTGTTTTTATCACTCAATCTGGGTCTTTTTTTACTGCAAGCCATTTGAAATCTACAGAAGGTTTGCTGAGGTCTGGGGTGGGACTCACCTCCCATGTAATGACCAGCTCGGACTTGCTCCCTCCACCTCCACTGACATTAGCTGGAGTCACTTCAGGAACTGCAGAGAAAGAGATGCAGGAGATGCATGTGTGAAACCAGAAAAGCACTGAGATGGAACAGACCTACACAGTGACAGGATGTTTCTGGCCTTCCCCTGCTGCTACCAGGAATGCTATTAAAGGGACTAATTTGCCATGGCAAACAGCACATTAAAATATGTCAATAATAGTATATTAAAAGTATGGCAATTAACTTGTGTATTCAGGCTCTAATTGTTTAGTTTAAACATTTATCTTCCATAAAAAAAGGGCTTTTATTTATTTTCCTGTTTCATATTCTGTCCTGGTAAAACTGAAGAGAGGAGCCACCTGCCAGGGGGTTCCATGGTGGAGGCATCTCTTAGCACTGAGGAGAACTTGTCCCACAGGATTTAGCTCTGTTGCCCACCACTACTTCACAGAATCACTGGGGCTGGAAAAGACCTCTGAGATCATCAAGTCCAACCTATAACCCATCACCACCTTATCAACCAGACCACGGCCCCGAGTGCCACGTCCAGTCTGTCCTTAAACCCTCCAGGGATGGCAACTCCACCACCTCCCCGGACATCCCCTCCAGTGTCTAATCACCCTTTCTGGGAAGAAACTCTTCCCAATGTCCAACTCACGAGCTTCTTCAGTTCTTCTCTTCTCTGAGGGCCTGCTGGGCTCCCCAATGCCGATGTGGTTGGCAGCCACCACCCGGAACTCGTACTCCACCCAGGGGTTCAGCCCCACCACGGTCGCTGTGAAGGTCCTGCCGTCGATGATCTCTGGAACTAGGAGACAGCAGAGGGTCAGGAAGGCAAGGAAACCCACTGAGATACTAAAAACTGCTGGAAAAGGGTACAGAGAAATCTGATTTCCTTAGAACTGAGAGTTTGATATAAGTACAGAGGACTGATAAACCTTTTCTCATCTTTCTAACATTTTACTAACTGCAAAGTGGCCCAAGAGGAGCATTAAACCATTGTGCTTTTAGCCCAGAAATTCCTGCTATTAAGGAGTTTCTCCTAAATCGTCACTGTTCGAAAACAAAGTGTCGAGACAACAGGCTGAAAGGGGGTTTGTTTTTCTCTTTTTAAAACACACTGTTCCCTCTATTTAATGGTTACCAGAACAAAATTAACCTCTGACGGAATGAGCAATTACATCATGGGATTTTTCCCTCTATCAGGAAAATAATTCTACCTAAAGATAGGCCAGATGACACAGCCTGTCCCTGAGGGATGTCTTTATAGACCACAATTACTGTTGTATATCTCCAGCGAGGCAACAAAAGCTAGGAATTCATTCTGCCTTCCCTTAAACATTCATGAGAAAAATGGATGAGTAATAGCACTGACTGGACCCTAAATCTTTGGGTTGCCAAACCTGAAACTAGTTAATAAGAGCAGTGCTCTGCAGCCAGGGAAATTGCTTCTCACACCAGGGAGCAGAGCGGCAGCGCAGACCTGACGGACGTGTCTCCACGTGGAGCTCCAGGGGAGCAGGACATGCACCTACCTGTGCTCACTGCTTGCCACCCCACCGAGAAGGGCGTCCTGGCCTGCACAACATACATGGTGATTGGGCTGTGGTTGTCTGCTCCTGCCCTCCAGGACAGCTGGGCCGTGGTGTCGGTCACCTCGTCGATCGTCACACCCTCCGGGGGACCTGGGGGACCTGGGGGAGGTCACAGGACACAGCGGTGGAGGCTTTGGAGGGACTCGAGGAAGGAGAGCTCTGGTCATCTTCCCTGACTCAGGACAGTGAAATCCCTGAGAGGGGTTAGTGCAGCCCCAGCTCTCGTGGCCTGGGTAGGACTGGGAGGCCTGGGGAGATGCACCAGCATCATGTCCGAGGAGGGACCAGTATGTTCTGCTTCACTGCTGGGTTCTTTTCAACCAGTGAAGCACTGTAGGACATCTCTCCTCTCTCATACAGCCACTGCTGCCAGTGGTGGTACCTGAGGTGCAGACTCCTCCCCTCTCACAGAACCACAAATGATTTGGGTTGGAAGGACCTCAAAGCTCATCCCATCCCACCCTGCCCTGGCAGGGACACCTCCCACCAGCCCAGGCTGCTCCATCCAACCTGGCCTGGAACACTCCAGGGATGGAGCAGCCACAGCTGCTCTGGGCACCCTGTGCCAGAGCCTCAGCACCTCACAGGGAGGGATTCCTGCCCAATATCCCACCTAACTCTGTCAGTGGGAAGCCATTCCCTGTGTCCTGTCACTCCATGCCTTGTCCAAAGTCCCTCTCCAGCTCTCTTGGAGCCCCTTATATACTGGACCACATTACCCTTCAGGTACTTAAGCAAACTCTCCTGTTGCATCTCACTCTGTGGACTGAAGTTACTCTCATATGACATTCAGAGAGCAGGACATGTTTAAATATCTAACATACCCTGAAACCTCATTCCCTGTGTCCTGTCACTCCATGCCTTGTCCAAAGTCCCTCTCCAGCTCTCTTGGAGCCCCTTATATACTGGACCACATTACCCTTCAGGTACTTAAGCAAACTCTCCTGTTGCATCTCACTCTGTGGACTGAAGTTACTCTCATATGACATTCAGAGAGCAGGACATGTTTAAATATCTAACATACCCTGAAACCTTATCCTG